TACAGCTTTTCCCACTCTTTTGTTGACTATGAGGGCTACTCCATTTCTTCTACGGGATTCTTGACCACAATACTAGATATGATAATCGTCTGAATTGAATTAGCCCATTCCTGTCCATTCTAGTTCACTGACACACCCAGGATATAAATGTTTATTCTTGCCATCTCCTGTTTGACCACATCCAGCTTACCAAAGTTCATAGATCTTACATTCCAGGTTCCTATGCAGTATTTTTCTTTGCAGCATTGGACTTTCCTTTCACTTCCAGGCACATCCGCAGCTGAGCGTCCTTTCGGCTTTGGCCCAACCACTTCATTAACTTTGGATACCCATTTTTGATATTTTGATATTCTGTAAGCCGCCCAGAGTGGTAGAATATGGGTGGGATATAAATCGAACAAATAAATAAATAAATAAATGGAGCTACGTGTACTTGTCCCCCGCTGTTCCTCAGTAGCATGTTGGATGCCTTCGAAAGTGAGGGGCTCATCTTCCAGCGTCATATCTTTTAGCCTTTTGTTTCTGTCCATGGAGTTTTCTTGGTAAAGATACGGGAGTGGCTTGCCAGTTCCTGCTCCAGGTGGATTGCGTTTAGTCAGAACTCTCCACTATGACCTGTCCGTCTTGGGTGTCCCTGCACGGCATAGCCCATAACTTCTCTGAATTACTCAAGGTCCTTTACCATGACAAGGCAGCAATCCGTGAAGGGGTGGGTGGGTGAAGAACTAGGAAGTCCGAAAAATGTGGAACAACTTCAGAATATCCAGCTCAGTTACTGTTGAAATAAGCTGTCTTAGATCCTTTTTAAAGAGAAAGGTAAGGTAAAAATATTTTAAATAAATAAAATGAAATGTGATAAGAAATCTGACTTCTCAGAATTATAAAAACAGTGTGAAACTATATTGTACAAGGCATTTAATTTGATTTAAAACATTTCTCCAGTTGTTCTAATTTTTTTCCTAATTTGGAGTTGTACCTGAGTCCGTAGCAAGTGTACCTCTTCCATAAGCACCTGCCTTTCTTTGTATAGTTCATTTTGCTTGTTGAGAAGCTCCACTAGTTGCTGAGCAGTGGTCTGACAATGCTTGTCAAGCTGGTTTAACCTGAATAAAATAGAAATAGTGTTTGTTCTGGTGTTTTTGGTACAAGAGTATTTATTTATGTGTTGTTGTTTTTTTATTTATATTATTTAAAAGCTACCTTTCTCTCTGTAGGAGACCAAAAGCAGCTCACACAATCTAAAACTACAACAATCAACAGTTTTAAAATACCATTTAAAACAATTAAACATATATCAAGATTAAAACCAAGATTTAAAAATTTTAAAAACCATTTAAATATATTTTAAAATATCCCAAGTTTAATAAACACGCATTATTCTTGAGACACTTATTGCTTAAAAGCCTGTCTAGAGAGGAAGGTCTTTGCCTGCTGGTGAAAGGATGTGGGGGGCAACCTGGTATCTTGGGGCAGCACATTCCAAAGCCTCAGAGCCACCACAGAGAAGGCCCTCTCTCGTATCCTCACCAAACAAACTTGGGGAAATGGTGGGACCAAAAGAAGGGCATCTCCAGAAGATCTTAAAAACTGAGAAGGCTCATGTGAGGTGATATGATCCTTCCAATAGCCTGGGCCCAACTTATATAGGGCTTTATAGGTAATAACATGCACTTTGAAATGGGTCTGGCTGTTATAATAAGGGAATTATATGCTCCCCCTAATGAACCTTCCAGATCTGTCCATGGTCTGAGGGTTGTATGTAACTTTCTTTTCATACTTGGCAGAGAGAAAAGGCACGGAGGTGTCACCAGTGCTTTTGCTTTCCTTTTTGGCATAGTGCAGTGGGGCTGGAGGTACATGTGAGGTGCTTAAAGGTGGCAATGTTCGAAGATAGTGCTGGGTTTCCACACTCAGGGTACAGAAGAAGAGCTTTGGCTTCCTCTATGATTTTCCTGCACTGTATTTATTTTATTTATTTATTAGATTGCTTCTGCTGAGACAGATGGGATTGTGGTTTGCTTTACATAATTTTCTTCATTGAATCAGCATTTCCTCTTGTTTCTTTTTCTATAGCTTCTCTGACTCTGCTATCAACTTGACTAGCAAAATTAGACTAATTCAGTCGTTCTTAACCTTTTTGAAAGAAATGCCCCCTTGAGCCATTGAGGAAGTTATCATTGTCCCCCTCCCTGCGGCGGCGGCGCAGTGGCGGCACAGTGGTGGAGGCACGGGGAGGGGGTGATGATAACTTCCTCAATGGTGGTGGCACCGTGGTGGCTCCATCACCCCGTATCACCCCCTTCTGTTCCCTCGCCCCTGCATTGCCCCTTTTCATTCCATCACCCCCTGAAAAACAATATCACCCCCTGGGGATAAGAACCACTGGACTAATTGACCAAATGACCAGAACCTCCCAAAGTTTTCTTCTTACTCAAAAGAGCCACACCGTTGTGTGCGCTGTCTCATATTTTTCACCTGTCAGCATGCCTGTGAACAAACAAACTCTTTGTAACCTTCATTTCAAACACTACAACTGGGCATATATTTTCCCCTTTAGCTTGGGCAACCCTCATACTTCTGCGTTTCAGCCCCAATTCATTCATATTTATTTATTTATTTATTTATTTATTTATTTATTTATTTATTTATTTATTTATTTATTTATTTATTTAATATCCCGCCTATCTGGTCAAGCGAGGACCACTCTAGGCGGCTAACAACCTTAAATTAATACATGTAAATAAACAGTTCTAAATCATAAAAGCACTACATTACGATGCCAGAACACAAAACATAGAACAGTAAAGAAGGAAAGAAAGAGGTCATGAGTTATGTGATGGAAAGGCCTGCCGAAACATCCAAGTTTTTAATTGCTTCTTAAAAGTACCCAGCGAGGGAGCCCCGTGAATCTCAGGAGGTAAGTTGTTCCAGAGGCGAGGAGCCACTGCTGAGAAGGCCCGGTTTCTTGTCTTTTCCTCCCGGGCCTCCCTCGGCGTTAGGCTCCTCAGCCTCACCTCCTGGCTCGCACGAGTGACACGGGTAGATCTTGATGGGAGTAGGTGTTCCGCCAAGTATCGAGGCCCTAAACCGTTTAGGGCTTTATAGGTAAGCATCAACACTTTGAAGTCGATGCGGAATCGGATGGGCAGCCAATGCAATGCGGCCAGAGTGGGTGAAATGTGTTGGTGTTTTTTCACACCACTAAGTAATCTGGCCGCCGCATTCTGCACCACTTGTAATTTCCGCAGCAGCCTCAAAGGTAGCCCCACGTAGAGTGCATTGCAGTGGTCTAATCTTGAGATTAGTCTGCTACTAGTTTCAGGTTATCATTCACAAACTACCCCTCTGCACCTAATGCAGAAGAGAGTTGCTGCACTCTACTAACAGTCCTCCCAACATACATACACAGGCATATGCCAACTTGTGATGTGTTTGGTAGAGTATGCCAAATCCTGGTCCCTGGCACATCTTTTTTTAAAGTGCCCTGTTTTTCTTACTTTATAAAGTTCACTTGAGATTCCGCCACCCCCTCCATTAAGTGAATTATTTTCAGAAGCAAACTCTTTTTTAAAAAATCAAATAATTGGCATATCACAAAATTAACCTGAAAAGCTTGCTTAGCAGAAACAATTCATAATAAAAGGAAAAGGTTTCCTATATCTCCAATTTGCTATAAATTTAAATAACTATGTCAGGAATGTGTGCCATGTCCAAAAACATACAAAACAGTTACATTCTGCACTGTTTTGGTACCATAGGATTAGGCATGCAACAAATTTCTACGGTAGTCTGCAAAGCTGAATGTGCCATAGCCGCAAGATTGAATTACAACAACTGGCAGCAGCTAAATCACCAAATCCAACAGCCACACTGCACTTACTGGCACACATCTTAATTAGGTTTTAATATAAGTAATCTGATAACTACTCCTGGCTGGCCAGAGCTGAACTGTCAGTACTGAGAGCTTTCTTATTTAGCCGCTCTTCACGTATATGGTGGCAGCTTCCCTACTGACCCTTGTCAAAGAACCCCATCTGCTGGTTACCACGGTAACTGACGGCAACTGCTTGAGTTGAACAGAGACTTTCAGAAAAAGTCTGTAGCCAAAAGAATTTTGTAAAATTACTTCACAGGCTAAAAATCCCATAGTGGTAAATACTGGAGAAAGATAAGGTTTTTTTCCCCCTTCACAAAATGGAAGGTGGTTTAAAGCATTATTTTCACTTCTGCCTCTGGAAAACAGGCATTTTGGGGTTTTTTGTAGTATTTGAAAACCTGACAAAACAGTTTGAATTATGTTTTCTAAAATGTGTAAAGTATTTATGAAACAACTTTTCATTCTGCTTTTTAAAACACACATACATATTCTTTCAGTTCCTTTCTCGTCAATATCCAGTTACAGAACCAAGAAGAATGACAATACCTAAACTTCTTCTCCAGCCATTAACTGAGGTGACAGCTGGCACCTCACTGAGCCTGCCCACCATCCAGTCAAGTCTGAAGATCATTTTTAACCTTCTGGACTGACAACCAATCTATACAGAGGTGTAATTTTTTAAACATTATTATGGTTCTCCTCAAGAGTAAGATTCCCCAAGCAATACGGTATTCTAGAAGAAGTGGACCAGTTTATTCAGTACTGCAGATCAAGGACTAATTATTGGAAAAAAAAATAAGAATAGCAGTCTTGGAGCAGGGATGAACAACTTCCAGAGGTAACCGCATCTGCTTCCATAGGAGTGCAGAAGATCGCATTTGCCCTCAACCCTGCTATGCCCTCCAGTCCCCAAATTTTGAAAATAGAATTTTTGCCCCCAAATCTTCAATCACACCTTGCAAAACCAAAGCAAACAATACCCAGTTATAAACTAGACAAGAACTCCAAACCCATTTACTTATTGAGGCTTCTTGGACAAAGCCATAGAATCCATCTTCCCATTTCCTCCATTTTTGTTGTTTAGTCATTAAGTCGTGTGTCATTTAGTCATTAACTCTTCATGACTCCATGGACCAGAGTGCCCCAGGCTCTCCTATCTTCCACTGCCTCCCGGAGTTGGGTCAAATTCATGTTGGTCGCTTTGATGATACTGTCCAACCATCTCAACCTCTGTCGTCCCCTTCTCCTCTTGCCTTCACACTTTCCCAACAACAGGTCTTTTCCAGGGAGTTTTCTCATGAGATGGCCAAAGTACTGGAGCCTCAGCTTCAGAATCAGTCCTTCCTCCACTTACCTGTCTTATAATATAGTATATATTCCTCACAACTAATCTTTAGTATACATAGAGTTGCCTAGGGCTTTATTTAGTGATTTAAAATAAATTTAATAAGACTAGGAGCTGAGAAGGAACAAGGTGCTGGCAATTCTTTCACAAATGCTGTCATAGGGTTTCAAAGAGGAGTTCTCACCAGCAGTATGGCTATCACATATGGCACTTGCTGTGGCATCTGTACTGTATTCAAGGGCAGCCCTTAGAGGGCATTGCAGTAGTTCAAACTGGAGAGTATCATGTGACTCTAATGTAGGTTTTTAAATTCTCTGGAAAGGCCCTTTTTCCTGTTGCTCCCCTGCCTATCATCAGAGGCATGCCTGGTGGGCATAAAAGTGAATGCTTTCTTGCTTCACAATTCCCCTGCAAGTAAAAGCAGACTAGCTCCATCTCTGTTGTTCTGAAGCCAGGCCTTTTCAAAAATGCCAGATTAGCTTTTATAAATAAAATGTGTTTCTTGTGGTTGTAATTGTGCTATTAAATTTTAATTATGATTTTGCACTTTATCCGCCTGTTCTCATTTAAACACTTTTAACAGAAAAGTGTACTTTGAACAGAAAGGTAATATATAAATGTAACAGATAAATAAATGAATTAGTTTGCAAAATACTATATGAGACTTGTGTCATTCTTATAATTCCCACATGAGAAGGACTACCACTATTCACATTTTACAGACTGAGAACTGATGCTGAGATAATCACCTCACTGTCAGACTAAAAGAGACTGCTGATTGACTCAGCACTCCTGGTCAAAGTCTGCATTTTGAATATTTAAGCCTTGATGATGTATAATGAATGCATTAAAATACCCATTCAAAGCAGCCTTTATTTTTT